TGATCAGAGGGAGTCAGGGCCTCCAAAAATAGTCTGGGCACCCAGCAGACAATATCAATCTTCAGATATATTAACAGGGACTGCAGAGACTCGCTTTCTATCTCAATCTTGCTTCCAGTGTGCTATTGTTACCGGTTAGCATTCACAGAAAACTTTATCTGCTTAAAAATAACACGTTTAATGAACTAGCCTCAAGCTATGACCACGTGTACGTTTTTTTAAACACGTTCAGTGTGCTATTGTTACCGGTTAGCATTCACAGAAAATTTTATCCGCTGAAAATAACACCGTTAAAGGAACTAGCCTCAAGCTATCACCACATGTACGTTTTTTAAACACGTTTCCCCTTTGGGGGATTAAAAAAAGAAGAAGAAGAAACCACTAAAAACCAATCTGTCCACACAAATAACATTTGTCATTTCAACAAACCACTAAAAACCAATCTGTCCACACAAATAACACCAACTCCATGAAAACACATTTCTCGGCCCTGGAGTGCATGCCAAGGCACCAGGTGCCACTCTAACCTTTTAACCAATCAACGAAAGTCATTTCAAGAAAAGGCACAAAAACATCAATTGCAGAGAGAGGAAAAGCGGAATCATACTCTAAGCCAGGGGTGTCAAACTCAAATACACAGTGGGTCAAAATTTTAAACTTGGACAAACTCGCGGTCCAACAATGATATTTATTTACATTTTTCCTTCATATATAACAATGAACCTCTGCATATGGACACAAACAAGTTTTGCTTAAACACTGAATATGGAACAAGCAAAGCTTAATACTATACAATACAGTAAATAGCTTCATATTGCACATGTGCAAAACACACACGCACACGCACACAGGCAAAGCCATACACAGGGACTGATAATGGCGTTAAGATGTCTGCCGCATGCTTAATGCCGAGCTAAATGGCCGCTTCAGCCCATCAAATGCAAGAAAAAAGTAACGTTCGGGAAAGGCATAATAATAGCAATACTGCCAATTAGCACCCCTTATTATTTTCTAAAACCATTATCTTAATTACATGCCATCCCTGAGGATGACCTGTTAACTCTCACACAATCGTCTGGCTTGAGGGAGACTGCACAGGTGTCGTGGTCACTTTGTGAAGACATGGGGGAGTGGGAAATCTCTAAACTGTTTTCCACAAATATATTAGGCTCTGGCTAATCTGTTGCAAAGACTGATTTAATGGATGTGGGATTTAGTCCACCCTTACCCTTCTCCTCTCGGCTTTGCAATTAACTACAATCATGCCTTTTCACTTTCCTTTCTCCATCATGCCACAAAGGCACAGCGGTTTTGAGGTTTGAACACAGCTTCTGACATTTTAAAGGACAGGCAACGGTACATGTCTGGGCCCAAATTTTGTGGTATGTTGCAGAATCAGATGCCTTATAATTCAAAACGTTTTAGGATGATTGGCCAATATGGCAAAGATCCCTATCTCTCTCTCTCTCTCTCTCTCTCTCTTTTTCTCTCTCTCTCTCTCTCTCTCTCTCGATGTATATAATCAAGTATCGGCACGTTGTGTCATTGAGTACTTAGAGTACCCCAAGTTGTACAGTGTGGAGGAAAAAAAAAATTGTGTCGGTGTATCTGTAATTTAACATGACAAAATGTTGATTTTTGCTCCATATTCATCAAAGTGCCGCATCTTGTCTGTCAGTCACGTCTTGATCCACCCAGCAATTAATCTGAGCCCAGGAGGGGCAGCTGCCCTATCTGTGAACTAACATGCCTGCTGGGCCGCGCTCTGTTAATCCGCATTTTTCACATTTCCAAGCTTGTCTAAATGGACAGAAGATGTGAAATGTCACTTTATGGGTGTCCGGGATTTCGGATGGTGTGCCCTCCGCGATCTGATCCATGTCCTACACTCTTGGGTTAAACTGACTGTGTAATTGGTGATTTGACCTCATTAGCTACTTGGCAGCGGGTCGAGCAGTCACTGTGGGATGACACAACGCCGCTGATGGGGGATTGGAGAAGCCACTGAGACCCACTTTTGTTTGGATAAGAGCTGAGAAAGTGAAGCCAGAATATTAAGTCGTCCCGGTCCAGGATCATGCATGAAAATTTGGAAACAAACATTTTGAAACAGCGCAAATGGAATTTCCTTTTCCACTGACATGTATTTGAGTAAGCCCGGCAAAAGTAATGTCAGTAAAATGCACCGCAGAAAAAGAACAAAGCGCCATGTGGATTCAGAGCAGAAATGTGGGCCTGACCAAGTGTTGCAATATGGCACTTAATTAAATAATTCATCTCACAGATGGCCCCTGACATATTGCCTTCCGCTTATACCATAAACATCGCTATACCGTGTGCAGTATCACATACTTTTTCCCCATTATCCAAACCCATCGATATCCTTATCCACCGCTGTACCACATATTCATTCCGAGCAAATAATAGCTCAGATTAGAGCAAATTGAGGACGGCATTGTGGACCCACTCTTCGGAGGTTACATGTTCATATCTAGGCTCCGGCCTTCCTGTGTGGAGTTTGCATGATATCCCTTCCACATTCCCCAAAACATGCATATTATGTCAATTGAAGCCCTTAAATTCTCCTGACCGTGTTTGTCTCGATGCGACTGGCTGGCGCCTCTCGCCTGAAGTCGGATCGGGATGGGCTTCAGCACATCCTAATTAGGAGAAGCAAAGACGACCTTACGAGGGACACCGCGGCAATGAAGAGCTTATAATAGACAAAGAAGCTTAAATTGACCATAAAGGTTCCACAGAACAAAGTCTGTTGTACTTTTTTAAGGTGAGGCCATGAACAAAACAGCCGGATTAATAACTTTAACGTGATGTACTGTAAAAATGGCTCGGAGTGCTTTGTATCTTACAGTGTGAATATAGCTGCTGACGCTTCTGTATATTTCTTCTGTGGTGGCTTCTTTGTCAACTTTATGGCCATCAGGCATGTTGGTGTTATCTCCTCTTTGCAGGATCTGCCCGGAATGCTGGAAGAGTGTGTCTACAGAGGACGGCAAACGTACTGACGAGGAAGAAAATGAAGGAGAGGATGGATGGGGGTGGGGGGAGCAGAGAGATGATTAATGATGACTGGAGAAAAGATGGCCAAGGTGGTTAGTGGAATTAACGGAGGCTTAGCCAGCAGTGGGCCGCAGGGAGTCGAAGGCTTTTCACCGCCCTGTACTAACTCAAATTTAACTCATGTGCGTGCTACTGTTCATAGGCCTACTCGTGCAAACGTTTGGACTTTGTAAAAAAACATTTAGTTGATGCTTTTCTTCACGAAAAAACACACAAATAAAAACAAAAAATGTCAACACCGCTGGTGTTTTTCTACAAAGGGGTAATACGACCAAACTGAAAAAAAAAACTATGATTAGGCACAAAAGTGCAGTGCAGTGCAGTGCAGTGCGAGCTGTGTGATTAAAAAAGAGATCATCATTTTAATTGTGTTATGTGCACCCCCCTTGGTAGTGATGGACGTCCACCTCGCTCTTCTCACTACTTCTTCAATTGGAATCATCAACAAACTGGAAGAGACAAACAATCAATGAGGACAGAAATCTCTTCCACCCGCGCATTAGGAAATCAATGATCTTAATTTTGTTACAAGACATACTTCTGGTAATCAAATCAGTCTCCTCAGCACTGAAGCGGGACTGATCTTAATAACGGGTGGCGCCTGACGTGGCCAAAGGTCGCTCTGTGTCATGAATATTTCCTTGACGACAGACCAATTCAGCAGAATCACGTTTTCTTGCCTTCTCTTAATTCGAGATGGCTGTGACTTTTTTACATTTCATCCATTTTTTACAACGTTTGAAAGCCCAAACGTTGAGGCGCCTTCTTCCGCACTGAACCAATTACACAGATATGTTTGTTAGCTGGAAATAGAAAACAGTCTGTGGCGTTACTTTCCCAGCACTCATTATCTGCGATAAGCCGCGTTGTACTGTGAGGCCCTGACAGGATTTACCCCAATATTGTCACGCATGCAGTCTATGAACAATAGAAATTAACTGTTGGTAACGCTCGGACGTCCATTACAATTTACACCACCTTAAAAAGAGCTCAAAGGAGGTTGTGCCTACAACGGCTCATCTAAGTGACCTGATTAGACTCTGAAGGAGAATCATCGCACATTCGAGGGAGCAACAACAAAACCAGCATGGCTGCATCGGATACAATCCTCCCAATCCATAAATGGCATCGTCACACCGCGGCAATTATTTTGCGGCAAACTTTTTCGAGCAACTTGCAAGGCCATTAGCATACGCCGGCCCAGACATTTTATTGCCTTGCCGAATGAGTTTCATTGACCCAGCAGATGTTTCAATGGCGATCATCAAAGAGATTTATGCAGGCTGATTCCAGCCCAAGAGTTGGCAGAATGTTTTATACATATTCACGCCCAAAATGTACCGAGGATCCTTCTGACATTTCTGCAGCCCTTTGGCCAAAAGTTGATCCGAAAGAAACACAAGGCAATTAGAACTTGATAAACTAAAGGTTTGCATGCACAAACTTGAACTCTGGAGGCAGATCTACTGTCCGGATGCACTCTGGATCATTTTGCGCAACTTGGGAGGAGACTATGGAAATAGTTAAATTTATCCCACGCAAAGTCATTTGTTAAAGAGGAGAAAAATTGCCACGGCTTAGTCTGTGTCTTTTTATACAGCCCGTCTGAAAGGCGGGCGCAAACCATGATGAGGA